ACACCAGCCACAGCAAAGGCATAGCAAACACGCCTACACATTCCTTTGCTACACCAATGGCAGACATCATTAATCGAGTGAAACACTTTCCCAAAGCTCAGAACCCCAGCCTAGCGATTTTTCTCAACGGAGCATGCCAGTCCACGACTCCTTGAAAAATGGACCTGGCCAACCTTACTCTGCAGTCCCAACAACCCAGCCTTCCCACCAACCTGTCTGATGTTTAGATCGCTGTGCTTCTAGAAAAGTCCTCAGAAGAGGTGGTTCCTAGTTTCTATCCTTGGGCAGCTTCTGGCTGGGGGCCCAGCTTCCACCCAACCACTACTCACCTACACACTGGTCCTACTGGGAGTGCTGGGTGAAGCCCAGGGGGCAACTGCAGCGGTAGCCCCCAAGCTCGTTTTGGCAGCTGTATTGGCCTCTGTGGGGCCCATCACATTCGTCCATGTCTGAGAGATGGAGAGAGGGCAAAGGAAGCAAAGAGGTAGCAAACATGCCCATCTACTCCACTGCTGCCTCCATGACAGACATTGCTAATCGAGTGCGGCACGTGCCTTTCTCAAGCTCAGAGCCCACCTCTCAGGATCTTTCACCCTGGGAAGTGGTCCTGGCTAGCCTTGCTGTGTAGCCTGGCCCCTCTCCCACAGCCCGGCACTATCTTCCCAGCCTCTGCCGGAGCGGTCCCAGGTGTAGCCTTGATAGCACTCCCAGCAGAAGCTGCCCGGGGTGTTGTGGCAGTGCCCAAGGGTGCCACAGGGGCCACGTTGGGTCGAGCACTCATCATTGTACAAAGAGGACAGAGGACGGGCAGGGCAGGGCCTCTTGGTGACTAGGGCAAAATGTCGGGCACCTCCATGCTGATCCTACTGACTTTGGGCAAGTGCCTTACCCTCTCTGTGCCCTAGTGTCCTCCTCTGTAAATGGGATTTGCCAGGGAAGGGACGCTGGGGTGCAAATGGTTTGCGCCCACCTGTTACTCTAAAGCCTGCCTGGCTTTAGATGCCCCTACAGCTACTTGGCTTACGGTTCCCATTTCAAGAAAAAAATTTTGTTCAGTGGCTCCAGGCACTCACCGAAGAAGGTGTGGTGGCGCTGGGTGAAGCCAGGGGGGCAGCGGCAGGTGAAGGCGCCGATGGTGTTGACACAGAGGAAGTGGCAGTTGTGCTGTTTGGAGGAGCACTGGTCCAGGTCTGTGGCAGACACGTGCCCTGGCTCAGGGGAGGCTGGGCTGGGCCCGCAGCAGCCCCCAACTCCCACCCTGAGTGGGACGGGCAAGCCCTGGGGGTAGGGATGGGGCCTCTTGGGGCCCACGGGTCACCTCTGCAGGTCCTACTGTCCTCCAGCAGGTATCCCTGGGGGCAGGAGCATAGGAAACTTCCCTCCGTGTTTTTGCAGAGGAAGCCGCACGGGGCAGGGGTCTGGCTGCACTCAGCCACATCTAGAGGGGATGCGGGGGTGCAGGGGGCTCAGAGGGACACTCCCCGGGGCCTGGGGTCACCCCAGACCCTGGCCATCCTGCGTGTAAACTCCCGCCAGGGATGGCAGACCCGCTGTGCAGAGAGCCAGAGAGTGGCCGTGCAAAAGTTGCCCCATGCAGGCTGTCCAGAAAGGGGTGTGGTTGGGTGCCAATACAACTCTATTTACAAAAACGGCCCTCCAGCCCTATTCGTCAGATGCGTCAGGACCCCTGGGTGGCACAGCCTGCCAATGTGCCTGGCTGCTGACCCAGAGAGCAGAGGTTCGAATCCACCCAGAGGCATCTTAGGAGAAAGGCCTGGTGATCCAGCCTCATAGCCTATGTGGTGCAGTCGGACTGACACACGGGGTTGCCATGTGTGGGAGCTGACTCACTGACAGTGCACCTGCCAGTCCCAGGGTGCATTACCAGAAGGGGCAGGGGCAGTGGCCACGGTAGGGGGGCGTGAGCCGGGGGAGGCTCAGCCACTGCCCTCTAGCCTCAACTTTCTTGATGGTGCGGGCACCACGCAGTAAGTGAAAACCAGAAAACCAGACCAGAGGGTCTGAGTGGCTAGAGTTTCTTCCGAGCACCTCAGGCAGGTGCAGACCATGCACCTTTCAGTTAGCAGCCAGGGGCAGGCCAGCCGGGGTGGGGGGAGGGGCGAGGTGGCGGGATTGCAGCTCCCCCAGGCAGGCTGTGGCGGTCGTTTCCGGAGTGTATTCAGCCTGGCAGTGGCAGTAGAAGGAGCCAAGGCTGTTGATGCAGTCGCCGTGGGGGCAGAGGTGGGCCAGGATGCGGCATTCAGCCACATCTAAGGACAAGCAGGGTGGGCAGCTGGGTCTAGTGGTGCACAGAACACCCCCAAGCACTGAGCGCGTGGGGTGGGACAGGGACAAACACTGGCCCCGCTGTCTCTCCAGCCACACTGCCCAGGGCATGACCCACTGTGGACACATAGACAGGGACACAGCCAGCCTGGCTCGGCTGCCATGTCCAGTCCCAGAGACACACGTGAACTGCCTCCAGGCCCACGCTCGCAGAGGCACATCCCTCGCACAACAGACACTGCAGCTGCTCCCTCAGTGACACAGTGCGATACACTCAGGAGTTTGTACATATGGAAAGCATCCACGCTGACCGCTCAATACACGTGTGCACATGCCCAGGAACATATCCACACACTTGGAGCACACTCCGCTCACACAGCCAGCAGCAGGCCTACTCAGCAGTAAGCTTGCACATGCACACACACACAGCATGCATCTCTGTGCACACATTTACTAGCAGTGTGCCCACACACACCCAGAGCACACGTGCACTCACGCTTGCTCACAAACCTAGACATGATCAGGCACACCAGCTCCCATCTTGTCACATTTACACCCAAAGACACCCACATCCGCAGACAGGTGTGGATTCTAACCCAGCTCATACAGAGAGCCCACACAGCTGACACGGGGCCACATGCATGCTGGCACACTCAACATGCTCACCTAGCACGCGTCAGGTCACATGCTCACACGCCCACGGGTACACAAACACATAGCCACTAACCAGCGTGCATTGAGCACATGCATCAGTACACACACCTGCCAACAAGCTCACACGGGATGCACACACTAGCTCATGTGCTACCAACACGGGCGAGACCCAGATACGTGCTCACATAGAAACGCACGCTGCTCACATACTTTCCCATGTGCCCCCCCACACACTTACCCACACGTGTGTGCAGAGAACACACACTCACTGTTATTTACTAACACAGTCCACACAAACTCACGTGCACGCACACATAGTAAGCTCACACACACAGAGTCCCATGCTTTCCTACATGCTCGCCAGCACACACTCACTAGCATGCACATGCAAGAGGGCATGCAAAAAAAAAAAAAAGAGGGCATGCACTCACTGCTTCACCCATTTACACAAGCACACACACACACAGCAAGTATGCACACCAGCCTTCACTTTCACACTCAAGAACAAGTGCACACACAGGACATACATTGGCTCACACATTTACACACCCACTAGCATACACTCAGTAAGTACACGCCCCCTAAAGAACACACCAGCTCTCCCCCTTCACACTCACTGGCACGGATACACCTTCATGAACGACCTCAGAGCCTACACCCTCATGTGCCCCCAGGGAACACACTCACTGATTCACACGTGCACACACACAGGCAAACACACACCGCTTGGCTCCTACAGCTGCTACACCCACCTGCACGCTCACAACCGAGCCCACACTGACACATAGAGCACCTTCACTTCACACACCGGCCAGCACACATGCATGCACACACACATACTGGAACACTCGGCCAAGCACAGACATGCGTGGGGACCTAAGCTCCCGGAAGGGTGGGTTCCCACCTTGACCTTCAGGGGTATAGCCTGAGCCATGGGGACAGAGCTTTCTGTATGTGGGGGTGCTGGGCAGGGGCAGAGCTCACAGTGGGGACCCCAGGTGTGGCCCCCTGAGCAGCAGTACTCTGCCCTGCTGACCGCCTCGTGGCGGCTGTATGGCGCCTGGCACCGCATCTGCAGCACCTCAGAGAAGCAGGGGCCATGCCGGGTGTCTGTGGGGGGCGGGGAGGGATGAGGACTGAGCCATCGGGCACCGCCACCCTCGGGGCCCTAAGTGCGTGTCAATGTGGCAGAGTCACCTGAGTCCTCAAGCACGTGGCGCTGCTAAACGCCCCCCGTGGGCTGGAGCAGAGGAGGGAGCCACAGGCTTGGAGGACACCACATGGCCACTCTCTGACACTGAGAGACCAGGTGGTGCAGGGCAGCATGGGGGCGGGGGGCGAGAGGAGGCATCCTGGCAGGGCTCTGGGGACAGATAGGGGGATGTAGAGGCATGTGTACACAAGCGGGAGGGTAGACTTGGTTACTGGACTTCAGGAAGGACAGAGGAGGCCACTGTGACCCTAGAAGGCGGCTCAGATGTCTGCAGTGTTGGGGTCAATGTTGAACTTGCTCTGGGGTGGTTGCGACCAGGGGCTGGGGGTTCCAGGAAGCAGCTAGACACACACAGGTCAAGGTTCAGGCTGCACTGGGGCCGGTGGAGAGTGGACATCAGTGAGGATGGACATAGGGGGCTTGAGGGGCTGGCTGACAAGTCTGTGGGGTGGGGGGTGGGCCCCAGGATGTGAGGGGCCACTCCTGGGACTGGGCTGCAGGGAGAGAGCAGGGCCCTGGCCATTGCTCATCCCAGCACGCAGTCACAGCAGAAGCTCCCAGGGGTGTTAACGTAGCGGCCATGGGCGCAGAGGC